CTCTCGCCTTCTACTGACCTTACTCCTCCCTTATTGTGTCCACCGCCTGACCAGTCCAAGCCGCAGTTACAGCCAGCCTCCCTACTGCCTGCTCCTTCTCCTTACACTGAGCACCCCGAAGGTCTTACAGAGCGTCGTGAGCCTGCGTCTCGTCCTGCGTCGCCTGTTCGCGCTGTTCGCACTGGTCGTCGTGTTCCGCGTCAGCGTCCTCCTCCTATCCCCGGCACGCACCAGATGGCGCTTCGACCTTCCTCTGTTCCTCTGCGTGTCCCTCTGCCGTCTCCTCCTGCGTCCTCCCTTGCTGACGGTCCGGACCCGGAGTCTGACTCCCTTCGTGCTGCTAGTCCTACTGTCACGCGTCTCCTGGCCACTGTTGTCACTGACCCTTCCTTTGAAGCTACTGCTGCGTCTGCTCTTGTTGCTGAGCTGGTTGACTTTGCTGCCGCCTGTCGTCTAGACTACGCCGTTAGTCTTATTGCTGAGTCAGAGTCTGTCTGTCCTCCGTCTGTCTGGGGTGAGTGTGCTCTTGGCACGGACGTCCTTGAGGACAGGCTGGAGGACTTTGAGTGTTTTGCAGCTGCCGTACCTCATCTCGTGTCCATGTTGATTGCACCCTAAACCCTGCTGGATTGCAATCTAAGGTTCGGAGGAATTGCGAGAGCTGCTTGTTAGCGAAAGCAATGTAGCGACGGAAGTGGTGTCGCTACCAATCAAACGACTCGAGGACGAATGTGAATACAGTACCAACTAAATGGGATGAAGTAGCCTACCACACCTCAACATACCTCTCGCTACTCGACTTGCTGTTTAGATGATTTGTACTAGCACCACTAGGATACTAACTAAGCACACGCCGTGCACGGCCCAAGAACAGGATGTGGTGGACGGGGAACGCAACTATCCTTCCTGACACTAAACGCATTCGGCCTTCCTGACGCTAAACGCCTTTAGCCGTCCCTAAAACGAAACGCACTTAGCAGTCCGGACGTGAAGGGCATTTGCTAGCCTGCCCAACGTGACACGCATTGGCTAGCCTTCACGACGCGAAACGCATTTGCTAGCCCTCGCGACGCGCAACACTAGTAGCCTGCCCGTCGACCGCATTTAGCCTAGGTGGCACGAGGGAATAGGGATCCCATCGGCCCGCATAAAGCCTTCCCGTCGCCCGCGGTAAGCCTTCCCTTCGCCCGCATTCCGCCTTGTGGTCGCCTGTACTTAGCCTTTCCAAACCCCTCATTGAGCAAAACGTCTCCAATATTTAGCAATCACGGCGCAAAAATATCCCGTCCCGTCACATGCAATTCCAATACAAAGCGTCGACATTACCTCTTCCCATCGCCAGCTTTAGTCCTCCATGTCGCCCTCATTCCGCGTTCACATCGACTACATTTCCCCAAGCCGACGGCGCCTTAGCCCTTCCCTTCGACACAAAGTATCGAATCTTAGTGTCATCAAATTTCCGCATTGCCCTCATGGGGCCAAGCCGTCATCACCGGGGTTTCCCCATCCCGTCGCCCGCGATTCCCCATCCCGTTGCCCGCATTTCGCGTGGCCGTCGTTCGCGATTCCCCAACCAGCCGCCTGCATTTTCCCACGGCTCACTCTCTTTCCCCCCCCCTCTTCACACTTCCTACTTCCCCTCTGCTCCCTCTCTTTCCGCCTTCTTGCATCCCGTTTCCCCCCTGCTCATTCACTGGTCCCCTTCAATCATCCAGTCGCGGCACATCACACTCACTTTCCCCCATCACTCATCCCATCCCATTTCGGCCCCTCACCTGCTTCCCTTCTGCCCAATCCCATTTCCCCCTTTGCACATGCCTCCGCCGCACATGCTCAATCCCCTCCGTCGCACATGCTCACTCCCCTCCGTTGCCCACGCTCACTCCTTCCCGTCGCACACGCTCTCTCCCCATACGTCGCCCACACTCACTGCCCGTACGTCGCACACTCTCACTCCCTTCCGTCGCCCACGCTCACCCCCCCCCCCGTCGCCTTCGCTCACTCTCTCCCGTCCCCTTTCTCCCTTCTCATCTCCACCCTTTCTCCCTTCTCATCTCCCCCCTTTCTCCCTTCTCATCTCCACCCTTTCTCCCCTCAGGCTAGAGTTAGAATCAGCGCATGCAGCGTACGACAAGGCAGCGGTTTATTTCCAGGTGCAGCGCCATCCCTCACCCCCCCATCCCTCACCTCCCCATCCCTCACTTCCCCATCCCTCACCTCCCCATCCCTCACCTCCCCGTCCCTCATCTCCCCATCCCTCATCTCCCATTGCCTCGCCTCCCCATCCCTCACCTCCCCATCCCTCACCTCCCCATCCCTCACCTCCCCATCCCTCACCTCCCCATCCCTCACCTCCCCATCCCTCACCTCCCCATCCCTCACCTCCCCATCCCTCGCCTCCCCATCCCCCACCTTGCTTTCCCTCACCTCCCCATCCCTCACCTCCCCATCCCTCGCCTCCCCATCCCCCACCTTGCTTTCCCTCACCTCCCCATCCCTCACCTCCCTATCCCTCACCTCCCCATCCCTCATCTCCCCATCCCTCATCTCCCCATCCCTCACCTCCCCATCCCTCACCTCCCCATCCCTCACCTCCTCATCCCTCACGTCCCCATCCCTCATCTCCCCATCCCTCATCTCCCATCGCCTCGCCTCCCCATCCCTCACCTCCCCATACCTCACCTCCCCATCCCTCACCTCCCCATCCCTCACCTCCCCATGCCTCATCTCCCCATGCCTCCCCTCCCCAAGCATTACCTTCCCATCCCTCATCTCCCCATCCCTCATCTCCCCAACCCTCATCTCCCCATCCCTCGTCTAGGGTTGCCTCATCTCCCCATCCCCCACCTCCACACCCCTCATCTCCTCATCACTCACCCCCATACCTCCCATCCGTTCCCCCCTTCACTCGATCCAATTAACCCCTTCTCATTATACCTCCCCTATCCTCATCCCATTTCCCCCATGCCCACTCTCTTTCCCTCGTTCACTCTTCCCATTTCCCCTAGCTCACTCCCTTTCCCCCGTCGCTCACCCCGTTGCCCCCCTGCTCAATCTCTGCTCTCTTTGTTTCGTCCCAATTCCCCCCTGCTCACTCTTAGTCCCTCTTCTTTCATTCCATTGCGTCGCTGCTCACTCTCTCTCCTCCTTTCACACACCCCATTCCCCCCCTGCTCAATCTCATTTCAATTGCACTCATCCCATTCCCCCCCTGCTCACACTCCTTCTCCCCTTTCCCCATGTGTTGATCTCAAAATCCAACCTGCTAACTCTCCTTCCCCCATCTTTCATCCCATTTCCTCCTTGGTCACTAATCCCCCCTTCTTCCATCCCATTTCCCCCTTGCTTACTCACTATCCCCCTTCACTCACCCCATCTGCCATCTGCTAAATCTCAATCCCTTTGCATTCATCCCATTATCCCCGTGCTCGCACTCTTTTCTCCCTCATCTATTGTCTTTTATCCCCCCTGCTCACTCTGATGCCCCCTTCTCGCATCCCATGTCCGCCCTGCTCACTCTCGTTCCCCCTTCTATGATCCTATATCCCCATAGCGCACTCTCTTTCCCTCCTTCACTCACCCCATTTCCCCTAGCTCACTCTCTTTCCCCCTTTACTCATCCCGTCTCCCCCCTTCACTCACCCTTTCCACCCCTGCTCAATCTCCTTCCCATTGCATCATCCCATTCCCCCCACATCACTCTCATTCGCCCTTCTTTCATCCCAACTCCCCCTTGCTCACTCTTCATCCCCCTACACTCACCCCACTTACCCCCTTCTCAATCTCACTCGCCCTGCATTCATCCCATTTCCATGACACATGCTCATGATCATGACCCCTTCCATGATCGTGTTTCCCCTATGCTCACTCACTTTTCCCCCTTCACTCACCCCATTTCACCCAGCTCCTTCTCTATCCCTCTGCACTTATCCCATTACCCCCCTGCTCATTGTCTTTCCCCCTTGTATGCTCTCGTTTCCTGATTCCCCTTTCCTTCATCCAATTTCCCCCTTTCTCACTCTCTTCCACAACGCCCTCACACTCTCTTCCACAGCGCCCTCCCTCTATTTCCCCCATCGCTCACCCCATTTTCCCCCTTCTCAAACTCTCCCCTCATCGCATTGTACCCATCTCACCTCCCCTCCCCATGCCCATTACTCCCTTCTAACCCTCCCTCCCCCTCAAATTTACTCCGTGCTCCACCCATCCTCCTCTTCCACTTACTCAACTCACCTCTCCACCACCTCATATTCCCTATCCTAGCGCGCTGACACTCCCTTCCATAGCACCCTCACAATCCCATCCATATTGCCCTTGGGTGAGCAAATCTGAACGACATCGCATTGCCTACCCCATCGCCCTCATATTCACAGCCCCCCCCCTTCCCCCCATCTCACCTCCCCTCCCTCTTACCACTTATTCTCTCCTCTCCCCCAATCCCCATCTCTCCGCCCATCGCATTGCACCTGTCTCACCTCCCCTCCCTCTTACCACTTATTCCCTCTCTCCCCCCATCCCCATCTCTCCACCCATCGCCCGTCATTTTCTCCCCCTCCCCTCTCCTCTTTTATCTTCTCATTCACGCAACTCCCGTCCTCATCTCCACTTCAAAAACTAATCTCCTCACACTCCCGCACGCAGGGATTCACGGTTCTACCAGACTTACATTCCAGCGCACAAGGGAGCCTGAGAATTCATTTCGCACGGAATAGAACAGTCACGGCAAAGGTGAGTCCGACACGGATCTAGCGCCCTGCTATTGACTTCCGGCTCAACCTCACATTCCCTTCCCCAGCACCCTCACATTCCCGCAGTCAGCTCCCCCCCTACAGCTACCTTGTAGCTCTCCACCTCTTCCCTACTGCATACTCCTAGCCCACCTCCCCTCCCCCACCACTTACTCCCATCTCACATCCTCTCCCACTAACCACTAACACCCATCTCTCCTCCCCTCTCCTTACCCCTTGATCCCATATCACCTCCTCTTCCCTTACCACCAGTCTCATCTCACATTCCCTTCCCCCACCACTTACTCCCATCTCATCTCCTCTACCCATACCACTTACTCCCAGCTCACATCCACTACCCATACCACTTACTTCCAGCTCACATCCACTACCCATACCATTTGCTTCCAGCACACATCCACTACCCATACCACTTACTCCCAGCTCACATCCCCTACCCATACCATTTACTCCCAGCTCACATCCTCTACCCACACCATTTACTCCCAGCTCCCATACCGCTTACACCTATCTCACCTCCCCTCGCCCTTACCACTTATTCTCATCTCCTATGCCCCTACTACCACATCCAGCACACCACTTACTTCCTATCCGTTTCCCCCTTACCTCCCGATTATTTTCCCATTTCACTCACCCCATCCCCGCCTTTGCCCGTGCGTTTATCCGTGATCCATCCTGCTCACTCTCTTTCCCCCTTGCCCATGGTTGTTTATTGCATGTGAATTGCAACCCATCAAGATGGCGCAACCTACGGCGTCGGAACTTTGTCGCTTGTTTGATCAACGTCACCATACTGTTCACTTACACCTTCGTGCTCCTGTCTGCTATCTGCGCGTTGGGCTGAGTGTGCTGATGCCGGACACAACCACAGCAACACTCTCTGATGTGTTATCGATTTACATGCTGGCAGCACCACATGTCACACAGATATTACTAAAAGCTGCTATGAATGCAGGTAATGTGAGGGGAATTGTCAGTCATGTTTCGTACTCGATCAAAGGACAAACTACATGTGGCATGCACATTTCGTGTGTTACGCATCTCCACATGACAAGTCTCCTCCCGTTTACGCTTTCTCAACTATTAATCCCCTCCAAATGTAGGAACCGGGGGCGATAAGGCTAGGAAGATAGTAGAGTTGCATCTTGAGGCAACGGAGAGAGCGTTTTGGAAAGGCATGGGTGGGGGGCTTGATGGAGTGGACGATTTGCTCAAACGGCCCGATCGGAGTTTACATGGAGTGGCCTACAACTTTCCATTATGGGAGTTGGACCAAAACGGAGTGCCAAGGAGAGGCAGAAGTCGGGGTTCAGACGAGGCTGATGTCCAGCCTTCGACACCCGTCCAGCCATCTGATGGTGAGAGCCAAGTAGCTATGCATCTATATTGCAACGATGGCTGGCAAGGAATAACCAATAAAGTCAAAAACATCCAACAGACAAGACTCGGCTTGGTGTTTTACCATATATTACAACACATTTATTAATACATATCCTTGTCAATGCAATTACCAGGTCATGTGTGAAGTCCATCTCTGGGACTTGTCGAGGATGTCAGAAGCCTAAGTTGACTTAGGACTTGGGTTCGGGTAGAACGAGAGTTACGAGAGGAAGGGGTCGAGATATTAGCCAAAAGGGGATTGCACTAGCAAGCAGGTGGATACACATAGGAAACCCTAAGGGGCCGTACTCACTAAAGAGTGCCCCACTGCAGGCTAGACAAACTACACATTCTGACACACCCCCATAGTCAAAGTGGGGTATAATCAGCAAAACAAGCAGCAGTTCATAGTTCACAAATATAAGCAAAGCTATAGGCTATTACAGAGGGCAAGTGAGAAGGAGGAGGAACTGTGAGAGGATAGAAGATGGGAGGCGACGGCTGAAGCTGCAGACACACGGGCAATAGGAGCGGCGCGCACAGTGGCTAACGGTGGCAAGGGCCCCGGACTACAGGAGTAACAGGCTCCGCGGCTAAGACGAGCGGCAGGAGCAACGGACCCACGGGCGACAGGCGCAGCAGGCTCTCTGGGCTACCAGCGGCAAGGGCCCCGGACTACAGGCGCTGCGGACGACAAGACTGCTGCCTCCACTCAACCTCCCCCAACTGTCCCACACCCCTTTCACACACCCCCTGCTGAACCCCTAGCTCCACTCACACTCCACCCCTCAAGCACCACTCCGAAGGCTCCCACACATCCACCCCCCTCAGCAGTAGCTGCAGCAGTGGGAGACGGAGGAGGAGGAGGAGCTGGGGACGGGTCACACACCCATCACCCCCAGACCCGCCACCCCCATACCCTTTAGTCCACGGCTGCACGCGCAGCAGGGAGACGAAGGAGGGGGGGGGGGGGGGGGGGGGGGGGGGGGGGGGGGGGGCGGCTGCAACGAGGGCAGGCGCAGGCAGGGCAGGGGCGGCCGCTCCAAGGGCGGGCGCGGGGTGGGGCAGGGCGCGGGCGGGCTGCAGAGCAGGCGCGGGCGCAGGTGAGGCAGGGTGCGGCGGGCCACAGAGCAGGCGCGGGCGCAGGTGAGGCAGGGCGCAGGCGGGCTGCAGGGCAGCTGCGGGCGCAGGTGAGGCAGGGGCAGCGGCCAGGGGGGCGCCGTGACGAGCAGGGACAGCGCCCAGGGGGCGCCGTGACGAGCAAGGGCGACGCCCAGGGGGCGCCGCGACGAGCAGGGGCGACGCCCAGGGGGCGCCGCGACGAGCAGGGGTGACGCCGCGCGGGTCCCGCAGGGGCGTCGCAACGAGCAGGGGCGACGCCGCGCAGGTCCCGCAGGGACGTCGCGACGAGCAGGAGCGACGACGCACGGGTCCCGCAAGGGCTTCGCGACGAGTAGGATACGGGCGGGCACAACAGGCCCGCGCGCAGACGTGGGGCAGGCGCGTAGGCGGCGTGAGAGCAGGCCGCGCGCGGGGCAGGAAGACGCCGCGCGCCCGAGGCGTGCGACAGAACGACAGGCAGCGGAAGCGGTAGGTGGGCCCGCAGGCCAGGGAGGAACAGGTTCTGTTACCATGTCAGAATCCCAACCACTAGACCATTGGGATAAAAGGGCTTGTTAAGTAGCGGGTCAGGGCGCCCATAACCCCCCAGGACAACGAGCCTGTAACCCTTCCCTAGGATCAATCGAGGATCACCAGTGGACCTCTGACACCCCCCCGCACTGGGATGCCCGAAGTGCACACACTGGGATTCGAACCCGTGACCTTCGCTCTGATACCATGTAAGAAGCCTAAGTTGACTTAGGACTTGGGTTGAGGGTAGAACGAGAGTTACGAGAGGAAGGGGTCGAGAGATTAGCCAAAAGGGGATTGCACTAGCAAGCAGGTGGATACACATAGGAAACCCTAAGGGACCGTACTCACTATAGAGTACCCCATTGCAGGATAGACAAACTACACATTCTGACAGAGGAGAGAGTCAGTGACACCTCGCCTATAAGTGTGGAACTAGGGAGAGGGTCAGCACCGCTGCCGAGTGCAGAGCAAACTCAAGATGTAGCTGGGGGGGTGGAGAGGGCACGTGACATGCGGGATGGGGACGGTGGTGCGGCGTCATCGCTGGGAAACGCGGGGGGGTTTGGAGGGTCAAATACTTCACCGCATTGCAGAACAAGCGCTGAGCTTGCATGCGACGAGATCGGTCCAGATGAAGAGCCAGACAGGTACCTTTTCACATCCACCATTCATTCCTTGCTTATCTCTCTTCGCACATTATTCCTCATCGCTCATCCTCCGCCCCAGGTCTCCCCATCTCACCCCATCTCCCCTTACCACCAAGTCTCGTCTCACTATCCCTCCCATCTTTGTGAGAGACGTAAGCGCATGTTTATCCACCTACAACACCCTGCTATTCACGAAGTACAACAAATATTCATCCCGCCCATCCAGACCCGACGCTCTCAGTGTGACGCGAAAGCGTCGATGGCCGCGTGGATGGCCATCCCCTCCGAACTGGGATGATTTTCCAGGAGACACGGTTTGCTTCCTTGAACCGCGGGTGTTAGTGTCATTTTTTAGTGGCCGGGCCGTGGGTTGTTGCGCAAGGGTTGGCTGCAAAGGGGAACTGTTGCTGGAGTCATGGAAACGGGCTTGGGCGTGTATGGGACTCATGTGGTTGTGCAACGTATATTCTAAGAGGGTGGAATTTTGGTCAGGTAGTCGAGAGAGGAATGATTTACCGCCTAGCAAGCGCGGACCACGCAGACCACCATTCATGGGAAAGCTTGTTGGTGCTTTTCCCCTTGCTGGGTTAGGGTACCAGCAGATGTGGGAGGTTTGTCGCACTTTGGGCGTGCCAAAGCCAGGTCATGGGACCTATTACAATCTCACGGGAGGGGATGAAGGGTTGTGGGGTGTCATGATCGAGCAAGCCAAGTGCTGTATGGAGCGTGTTCGAGTGAGCGTGGGGTGGGGGCCAGATCGCCGAAAGTGGGCGTGTCTAGATGCAAGGTTCTCTCAGGTTCGTGAGGCGAAGTGGTGCACTGTATCGTTCATGGATCGCAAAACTAGAAAGATCTTCCACTACAAAAACGCCAAAAGGGAGAGGGACGGACGGAACTCAGTGGGGCTCGAGAAGATTGCTTTTGACGCCGGTATGGATGAGCTTGCTGCAAGTGGATTTCAGGTGGATGGAATTGTCACGGACGAAGGCAACTGTTACAAAACCGCGGCGTGGGACAGGAGACTGATGCATCAGAATGACTGGTGGCATAAGTGTGGTGCCTACATGCGAGGTTTTAGAACAGATGTACAGGACGCCACCAGGAAAGTGGGATCTGTAGTGGGGGCCAAATGCTATGAAGTTCTGTACGTTATCACAATAGATAATCTATTGGCCTGGTTGAATGACAGCTCAATCGAGCGCTTTCATAGGGGGTTGGGGAAGAAGACGCTTGTACAGCATGTGTGCGCTATGTGTGGAATAGCATTCAAGGACATGGACCCTGCAGATGCCAAGTGGGTGCATCTTGAGTTACAACAAGTGCTGCTGCCTCGTGTTAGTCCCGATGCACGACCGATCGACATAGAAGTGCACAGGGGGTCTATCCCAGACTCAGTAAGTCGAGGTCGATCGAGCAGTGGTGGGGCTTTTCATTTTGCTGATACTGAGGAGGTTCTCCCTGACGAGGCAGTCGCAGTCGACATACAATGGCCGGATGTAGAGGAGCTGTGGAGTTTGTCAGATATATATGACATAGTGCTTGTAGGCTCTAGTGGGGTAGACACTAAGGGGTACAGGTTTCTAGGGTTTCACATTTGTATCACACATTTTCGTAGTTCATTCATTCCTCGTTATTTCACATGGTATAGAGCAGGTTCCCTAGTGGGAACGTTTCCTAGGGCCCACCACTAAAACGATTTTTTTTTTCCTTACCTGCCCGGAGCGCGCCTCGCACTTGCCCTAGTCGCGCCCCATGCGCCTGCCCTCCCGTCGCGTCCCCTGCCCTTAGCGGCCCGTCGCGCCCTCTTAAGGCCCCTTCGCGGCCCCTCTCACGGCCCCTTCGCGGCCCCTTCGCGGCCCCTTCGCGGCCCTTCGTGGCCCCTCTCACGGCCTTTCGCGGCCCCTTCGCGGCCCCTCGCGGCCCCTCGCGGCCCCTCGCGGCCCCTTCGCCGCCCTTCGCGGCCCCTTCGCGGCCCCTCCGCGGCCCTTCGCGGCTCCTTCACAGCCC